TGAAACCAGGACTAAACCAGGTCCAGGACCAGACCAGAACCAGACCGGCACTGATACCAGGACTTAGACCAGGACCAGGACCCGAACTGAGACTGAACTAAACTGAAGAGATACGACAGAGCTGGACTTGTGTGTCGTTTCATTCACACATGTTTGAGTAAATCTTTCTATCTACATCTCCAAAGCTCAAAACGCTCTGTTCCAACTTGTGATGTCATGAAGTGGTAGTTTTCAAGTGAACAGCTCCTTTTAGCAGAAATCAGCAATTCCAGAGCTAAAATGATCCAACTGATTCTAGTGAAGGTTTGTGGAGTTGCAGCATATTAATAAATGAATATTGTTCAAATAAAAAGTGAAGTTGTAATAGAGTTTGAGCGAGTATCTGTTCCGGGTTTGTCCCACCAGGACCCAGGGGCGACTCAGGGGCGACTCAGGGGCGAGGGGCGACTCAGGGGCGACTCAGGGGCGACTCAGGGGCGACTCAGGGGCGACTCAGGACCCGCTGGAGGGACTGTGTCTCTGTCTCTGGGAACAAAAGAAACTGGACGGACTTTTGGGAATTTAACTTTGGGATATTTCATGGCAAAATCCAATGTGATCAACAGAGAAATCTGTGTCTCGTCCACACCTGGTAGTGTGACATCACACATCACATTCTGAAAACCACCAATTACCACATGACATCACAAGGTGGAACAGAGTGTTTTCAGTTTGAGGGAAGAACTCAGTGTAAATGTGCAGGTTTGTGAGTTAAACATGTGAATGAAACAAAACACAATGAGGAATGACATCAGAACAGAGATGAGATCACAGTGTGACATGAACCCTTTAACGTTCCCTGTCTCCATCTGGATTAAACACAGAACGACTGGTCTGTAGAACCTTGTGACGTCATCTCAAACTCTCTGCTCTATTTTTGGAATAATGACGTCACTTCGTCACAGTCACAGTGACTTCATTACAACACGTCTCTATTTAGACGTGCTGGTTTTCCAACACGTTTCAGTATCACTATTCTGACAAATATGATATATTTTATCATATTATATTATAACATAAATTGTATTATATTTAAATGCATGACTGTTTCCCCGGGCGAACAGTGAGGACATTTTCTCACTGTCTGTGGTTTCTTCTGTGGCTGAAGTTTTGTCTGATCAAGAGCTTTGCACCAGCCCAAGTGTCTTATGAGAAACGGGAGTGCAAAGTAAAATAGGCTCACACATTCATATAATTCATGTCGGAAAAGCAGAATGTTTGAAAAATAGTAAAGTGCCGCTTCTCTGACAATGAAAAAAAGGAAAAAAGTAGTGGGACTCTTGTGAATGTTTATGTCGCTGCTCCGACAATTAGACGTCAATCTGTAAATAGTGACATGGAACCGTCCCTCAGAGCCTCCACACATTCATCATCTTTACAGATTTATGTAAAATTAAAGTTGTACCAAGATTTAAAGAAAGAAAACACATCACAGATTTAGATCCCCATGTTACCTTTAATTGCTTTGAAAATTTTATATTTGCCCAAAAAGTTTCACTGAGTCTCCCGTTTCTTTGTTCTCCGTTTAAACTTTCAGACATACATGGGTGACATGTGCAGTAAAAGCTCTTGAGGCATGATTCTGATGAAGGGACAGAGTTATAACATGGCAGAAAACTCCAAAAAACCCAAACAGCCCGACTTTAGAATGTCTCCGAAACACTTCTGATTACACGTCTCCACCACAGCAGCAGCCGCGCAAACACACTCTGCATTTTTGGCTCATCTCGTACATTTCAACTGTGAGAACCGAGAACAGAAGCATCTCCACCCACCAGACACTCCAGAAACACTCCAGAAACACCCCAGAAACACTCCAGAAACACTTCAGAAACACTCCAGAAACACTCCAGAAACACTTCAGAAATACTCCAGAAACACTCCAGAAACACTTCCAGAAACACTCCAGAAACACTCCAGAAACACTCCAGAAACACCCCAGAAACACTCCAGAAACACTCCAGAAACACTCCAGAAACACTCCAGAAACACTCCAGAAACACTCCAGAAACACTCCAGAAACACTCCAGAAACAGAAACACTCCAGAAACACTCCAGAAACACTCCAGAAACACTCCAGAAACACTCCAGAAACACTCCAGAAACACTCCAGAAACACTCCAGAAACACTCCAGAAACTCCAGAAACACTCCAGAAACACTCCAGAAACACTCCAGACACACTCCAGAAACACTCCAGAAACACTCCAGACACACTCCAGACACACTCCAGAAACACTCCAGAAACACTCCAGAAACACTCCAGAAACACTCCAGAAACTCCAGAAACACTCCAGACACACTCCAGAAACACTCCAGAAACACTCCAGACACACTCCAGAAACACACTCCAGAAACTCCAGACACACTCCAGAAACAACACTCCAGAAACACTCCAGAAACACTCCAGACACACTCCAGAAACACTCCAGAAACACTCCAGAAACACTCCAGACACACTCCAGACACACTCCAGAACACTCCAGAAACACACTCCAGAACACACTCCAGAAACACTCCAGAAACACACACTCCAGAAACACTCCAGACACACTCCAGAAACACTCCAGAACACACTCCAGAAACACTCCACTCCAGACACACTCCAGAAACACACTCCAGAAACACTCCAGAAACACTCCACACTCCAGACACACTCCAGAAACACTCCAGACACACTCCAGACACACTCCAGAAACACTCCAGAAACACTCCAGACACACTCCAGACACACTCCAGACACTCCAGAAACACTCCAGAAACACTCCAGACACACTCCAGAAACACTCCAGAAACACTCCAGAAACACTCCAGAAACACTCCAGAAACACTCCAGACACACTCCAGAAAAACTCCAGAAACAACTCCAGACACACTCCAGACACACTCCAGAAACACTCCAGACACACTCCAGAAACACTCCAGAAACACTCCAGAGAGCTTTATATCAGAGCTCTAGAGCCTCTGGGGGCTCTATCGTTTTAATCTCTGACTCTCGTGGATCAGTCTGTTGTAATTTGGATTTTTAAAATCTCAAAACGACATCATAAAAAGAAACAAGTGCACTGACGTCTGAGTTTAAAACTGTGGTGTCCAGTGGAGCTGACGAGGCTGTAAACGTCATGACAACAAAACGACACATGGACCAAACCAGGACTAAACCAGGACTGAACCAGGACTAAACCAGGACTAAACCAGGACTAAACCAGGACTGAACCAGGACTAAATTTTACCATTTTTAATTCAAGTCGTCTTAACTTGGGTAGATTTTGTTTTGGTTTTTTTTGCAGTGTGGGCTCAAGTGTCTGGAGCAAACTCTAAATCTTCATTAACTTGCAAAATTTGGCCAGAGATGAAACCAAAAGCAGGGTTCTAATCGAGAGAATCTCAAAAAACATCTTTGTTTCTGGATCAGCCATTGTATCTGATTAAATGGATAAGTTTAATGCCACACTGTGTAATATGGCACTAGCATCTCCATGGAGACCCGGGTCACATGTTTGTTGTGCGTCTGCAGTGTTAATAGTCGCCTGAACACGACGCCCCATATTTAAACCACACTTAGACTGTATTTAAACCACACTCAGATCTCTTTATGACTTTGAGCCGTTGATTGTCTGTTTGAGCCCCAAACAAACATCACAGAAACCGCTCTTCCTTCTTTATTACACACTTCACTATCATCCAGAGGAGAAACGTGGAGATTTAACCCATGAAAATACTATTAAAGGAGGAAAGTGTGACGAGGAGGAACAGAGAGTTTGGAGCTCTGGAGATTTACAGAATAATAATAATAAAGATTTACTCAAACATGTGAATGAAACAAAATAAAACTCCAGCTCTGTTTTTGAAGAGAAAGTAACATTAAAACACGACTTAAAGTTCACAAGACTTAAAGAGACAAAATATAAATTAAAACAAACTAAATTTAATGCGTAATTCATTCAGTCCAGAGCTCTAGATCTTTCAAAACATCATGATTTATACTTTTTTTTAAGACTTCTGTAGTGTTCGACTTTTTAAAATCATCACTCAGATTGTTCCACACACAGCAAAAAGTGAAGTGTTCAAATTGACTCTCAAAGGATCAATTTTTAACATTTTCTCAGTGTTTATTTGAGTCCAATCTGTTCTAGAGTTAGTTTTACATTTTTGTAAATGTTTAAGTAACACTGGACCAAAGTTCCTGTTTAACCCCAAATCCAGAGTTATATTCATGTTTTGAGAGTAAACAGATAACACTGTGTAGAGTTATCCTGATTTAACTCAACAACACACAGAGGAGTTTTATTTTTACACTTTATTTGAGTTAATTTAAGATGAAATTATGAACAAAACTGGTTCAAACTGGTTCTTCTCTGGCAGGAGTTTGAAGTGGAGGGAGGAGACAAATTAACACTAAGAGAAGTTGAATTAACACTAGAGGAAGTTGGTTAACTTTCAAAGAGTTAAAATAACACTTTTTGTGTTAAAAACAACTCTGAAATATGTTACCCTGAAATTTGAACCCTTCAGTTTTTGCTGTGTACTTTTTTTCTTAGTTCTTAACTTCATTTTGTAAAAGATGCCAGTTTTTTTGTTGTTGTTTTTTTTTTCCATTTATGGTTGTAATTATAATGTTAACGAAGGCACAAAGTGTCTCGTTTTTGGTTTATGATCATATCAAAATAAAAGCTCATGTTAAAGGAAATGTTAAAGAAAAGCCTGTGTTTAGTTAATAGTCGTGGTTTTACTTGTGAAGACAATGGATCTAGTCTTCTAGATATAAGACAAAACCAGGTCTAAACCAGGTCCAAACCAGGTCCAAACCAGGTCCAAACAGGTCTAAATCAGGTCCAAACCAGGTCCAAACTTAATGCCATTTCTTATATTTTTCTTTTCAGGAGGATCGACTACAAGCTGAAGCGTCAGGACAGCACCAAAACTCTTCTGATCAAAACGGAGCAGCTCCTGAGAATCGAAGAGCACGACTTCGCCATGAGACCCGGGTTTGGAG